GGGGTCGCATCACCGCACCCTCAGAGAACTACCTCACAAGGTACAACTCTTCTTTCAGACGGGCGTTGGAGTCCTGGCTCGGGATACTCTCGAGTCTCAGGTTGACTACATCGTTCAGGCGGCGGAGCAGAAGGCGGCAGCTAAAGAGCGGCATCGTGCTTGGAAGACTTGGGTTCAGCAGGCTTTCCACAAGGGCGCTGGCATTGCGCGCAGGGACACCAAGCCCCTGGACATGTCGACAAAATACTACTCATGGTGTACGCTAGCCCACATGGGGTCGCCGATCGCGAACTACTCGAGTGGACGACGGTCTGGACGCATCATGGGCTTACTGGGCCACCTAGAGCGGATGGGCTTGGTCTAGGAAATCAGCTACCACCACTCACAGGGGCTCAGTTGCACACGGCACTCCTCACCTTCCCTGGCACTACCTCTGCGGGACAGACAAGTATCGCACCGCGAGCCATGTGGCAGGTTTCAGATATCGGGTTGGAGGCCCTGGCTGCGCTCTACAACCGATGCGAGCAGTTGGGATGTTGGCCATCACAGCGGATTCTCAACCACCTAGTCAGATTGGGCAAACCCGATGGAGGTAGCCGCTTGATATGCTTGGTCAACACATTGATCGGGTTGTAGTTGCGCGCGCGTTTCAGCAACACGGCAGTGGTTACAGCAAGCGGCTGTGGCGGAGATCTGGGGAATTGGAGGTGCAGGGCGGTCGTCTACCGCGTCCGCATTCGATCGCAACTTGCATGCGGAGGTGGCCCACTTACTCTCGGACCACTCGGTGACTGCACTGTTGGGCGCCTGGAAGGCTTTTGAGTCGGTGCTACCTTCGGCGCTCTTACAGCAGAGTATGGAAGAAGGTTTTCCTGCGCGCTTGACCTGGATGATCTTGCAGTGCCACACGCAATCCAGGGCGATACAGTGTGATGGGTCACTGTCCACATGTTACCAGTCCTGGCAAGGGATCTTGGCGGGTTTCAGTCAGTCCACGCAGTTACTCACGTTGCACACTGCAAAGACGATGCGATGGTCGGCTTCTCCTGCTACCATTCCGCGAGCTGTGGTGGACAACGTTTCTGCCCAGTGGACGGGGCAGGACTTAGCACAGATACGACGGTACTGGAAGGCATTGCGTGGGTTCGTTGTGGATGTGCAACAGTTGGGCCTGGTCATTCAAGCTAGCAGGTCTGGGTTCGCGGCTACTAGTGCGGCGGCGATTAAGGCTTCTCGCGCGGCGTCAGACTACTGCAAGATCCCGCCACAAAGACACAAACGGAACCTGGGGCACGAGCTATAAGGGCGAATGATACGGAGAGGCGTTCCGGCCAAGCGGCATCTGGTCCTCAAACTACGGCCGAGGCGCGTTATGCAGTTCAAGCTGAGTGCAGGGCTACTGGTAACGAAGCCGCGGAGGACTGGGTTACTACCATCGGGAGGACACGGTGCCGCGGTCAGCGGTGTTTCGGACACGGAGCTACGTGAGTCACGACAGGCGGCTACCATTATGACAGGGTGCGCTGGGCGAGGTGGTAGCAGCACGTTATACTGGCTACTCAGGGGGGATCCTTGGCACGACCCTATCTTTGAGGCCACCACCGCGCCGCTCTTTGCATGCCATCGGGCCATCTGGGATCAATCCTTCAGCTCGGGCCGGTGGGAGCGGGCTCGGCAGGTACTACGGACCCAACAGATATCTCGGAGGAATGCGCGTGGGCCGTTGGCGGTGGTTTAGCTATCGCTTGCACGAGTGGACTGGTTCATGATTTCCCGTACTGTGATACGCGACGTTTAAGGGCAATCCTGACCACTATTACGGTTGGATCCAATGGCGATGCGAGACCTGTTGCGGCACGGGATGCAGCGGTGGCAGACGCGAAGGGTGCAACAACATCATGGCGTGGATCCTGGTACCCATATCTGGGCACGGTGTTTACGAGCCTGTGTCGGAGGTCGGCATGCAGCACTACAGAACCCGAAGGTGGCGGGGGCTTTATGATCGTTATGGTCTGGTTCATCGTGGACGCAAGTCAAGCTCCACCAGCATTACAAGTCGGACTCTACCATGTGCCGAGGCTGTGGTGTTGAGGAGGAGTGCATCGGTCACGTCTGCTACCGCTGCCCTGCTACTAATCGCCAGCTTCTGGAGGAGGAGGAAGACCACCCGACGCCTGAGGAGCCGATCAAGTACAGAGACTCGGCATTGGAGCATGGCACTCTACGGACGCCTTTGGTTACTGACGACTGCTACGACCTACGTGTTGGAACGCCCTTCGTGCCAGGCGACTGCCGGATGGCGGTGCTGGACGCCACATGTGCAGTGCTGGGGCGATTGGAGCAGCGACACTGGCACCTGGCCTACGACGGTCTTCACAGACGGCTCGGCCATCCCGTCCAGTTCCAGAACTTCTGCGGCGTGGATGGGCGGCAGTACAGATGTCACCTCAGGGCTACCCCACCAGAGCGATCTACGGAGGCTTGCCAGGGGCGCAGCAGACGATTGGCGCGGCGGAGCGGTATTGCATCCCACAGGCGCCGCGGCACTATCCTCCCGTCTTGGATGTGGTCACGGATTTGTCAGGCCTGATGGATAAGGGCCAGCGCTGGTCACCGTGGAATGCAGCTGCGGGCGCACGGCATGCAAGCATTTGGAGGCGTATACGCACACGATTGGAGCAGATGGATCGGTTGCCGCCACGGTTCCATTGGTGCCATTCTCATTGCGATCATATTGCGGTGGCATGCGATATGGACAGCACGGTGCGGTATGACCAGGTGTTGGGCAATTCCTGGGCGGAATTCTCTGCTGTGGGAGGCGCTCGCAGTGTGGGATACGCGGAAGGCTACATTGACATGCTCAAGATGGCGCTTGCGCAAGCTAAGTTGGGAGCACGGTTCTTGGGTTCCACTCTCAGTCGCCTTTGTTTCAGCTGAAGGTATGGTTGATCAAGAGGTGCGAGTGCCGAAGGACAGGGAGGTGAAGGAACAGGCACAAGTACTACACCACTACCTTTGGCGTTCCGATGTTCACGGCGAATGGAAATGCCGGCAATGCGGGGTCAAGGCTAAGACTTCCACGCACCTGGACAACTTGCGATGGGGCAGGAGGCGTCTTTGCCAACCTGCCGAGTTCCAGCAGCCGCAGGCGGACGCCCTCTCCGGCTCGGGCAGAGGCGCCAATGACTCTCCTTGGCGACATGCTGCCGTCACCCGCGCGATGGAGGGCGCCAGCGCGATGCTGGAGGATGACGAGAGGGGGGACCAGCAGATGGCTGACACTGCTGGCGCCCCTTTTGCTGCTCGCGCACGAGGTGCCCGACAGGGCCGGGTCACCCGCTCCAGGTGGCAGCGGCAGGGCTGCGGCGGGCCATTACAAGGCGTGCGCAGGCACTGCAGCGGGACCTTGGCCGAGACGGCGCGGAGGCTGCGAGGGCGGTGCCCCGGTGGGGCACGGGGTCGCGGACGACGCCAGAGCAGGCTCAGGTTCGCGAAGGCGCAGCCCCTGTCGTTCCATGCGCGGGCCCATGACCTTGTGGCGGAGGGAGCGCCAGACGGCACGCTCGGAGGAGGAGAAGGAGGAGGAGGAGGAGGGAGAGGAGACGGAGGAGCAGGGAAGGAGGAGGAGCAGGAGGAGAAGGGGGAGAGAGGAGGGGAAGAAAGGAGGAGGACGATGAGGAGAAGGAGGAGGAGGACCAGCGTGAACCCAAGACCCATCAACGATGTTGGAATAAAGCCTTCCTCCAAGCTCCCTCTTCAGAGGCCCCCAAAAGGGTTCATCTCCACTGTGGGAACCGCCTCGTTGGGAGACAACCGTTTGATGACCCTGGAGCGTGCCAAAACAACATTCTCGGGACTCCAACGCCACGAATCAACATGGCTGTTGCGTCTTGACGATCCGGAACCGTGCCAGAAACCATTCCTAGGACTTCACCACGAATTAACATAACTGATGCACCCTCACAAACCAGAGTATATCCAAAACCTTATTTCTGACACGTTGACCATGGGAATCCGTGAAACTCTTGGCAATTTTGAAGACGAATGTGCGCGGCGCTAAGGTGAGAGCCACATGTTGAAAAGGAGCCACCCTCAATCCGTGCAGCTCTTGCAGATGTTTGACGTGGAGGTGCGCGGCGCTGAGGCGATAGCCACATGTTGAGAAGGAACCTCCATCAATCAGCGAAACGCTTACGCATGTTTGACACGAATGCGCGCGGCACTAATGCGAGAACCACATGTTGAACACCACCTGCCCTCAACCCGTGAAGCTCTAGGACATGCCTGAAACGGGTGGGCGCGGCGCTAAGGCAGGAGCCACACTCTGGAAAACTGCCCGCCCACAATCAGTGAAACCCTTGCCGATGCGCATGACGAATGCGAGCGACGCTGAGGCGAGAGCCACATGTTGGAAGCGACCCGCCCTCCGTCTGTGAAGCTGCTGTCAATTACCGTCGGGGCGTTGGCCTAAGGAACCCCAAATAAGGAACGAGGTCCCTTTTTTCCATAAGTTAACCTTCGATTTCCCATCGAAAACATAAGGAAAACCTGAGGCAAGCTGTGAAACACTTAAGGAACGCGGAGCCCCTCCCCAACCAAAAGGGTTCCTTCTCCAGGGCCCCGACTGTAAAGCTTCAGGGTCAGAATTGGTGAGGAAGTCTCAGGCCCAACGCCCAGCCCGCCCTTTCGATTGGCCTCGGTGTGCGACCAAGAGGAGCCGTCCAGAAGGAACATGCATGGACGCGGGCCTCGAGGACAGGGGGGACAGGAAGGGAAGGAGGGAGGAAGGGAAGGAGGACGAGGAGGAGGACGAGAGGGAGGAGGCTCGTGGAGGAGGGGGAAGAGGAGGCCGAGGAGGAAGGAGAGGGAGGGAGAAGGGAGGGAGGAAGAGAAAGAGGAAGAGGAAGAATAATAATAATAATAAGAAGAAGAAGAAGAGGAAGAACCATGAAAAAGAATAATGAACAAATCGGGGTCGAGGGAGGGGCGAGGAAGAGCGCCTGGCCGTCCCCTTGTGCGGCGGCCTCCTCCGCCGCGGCGGCAGGAGTGCCAGCCAGCGCCTCCGGGGAGGCCGGCGGCTGCTCCAGCTCGGGCGGCGGGGCGGAGTCCTCCGGGGAAAGGGGGCGGGGGGGAGGTCAGGCAGGGAGGAGCAGGAGGCGCAGGAGGAGGAGGAGGAGGAGGAGGAGGAGGAGGAGGAGGAGGAGGAGGAGGAGGAGGAGGAGGAGGAGGAGGAGACGCGCGGGTGCGTTCTTCCGGACGCTGGTAAGGTGACTTGCATGGCGCTTGACAAGTGCACAATACATGCATAAGCACTGCTCTGGGCCTGCCCCTCCCTCTTTTCCCACGCCCAGGGGGCGCCTCCGCGCCGTCGCTCTCCGCGACCGCGCCGCCCTCCCCCGCGGCGGCGGCGCCCTCGCCCGGCTCGGGGGCGGCGCCCTCCGCCGCCGCGCCGGGCGCCGGCGCCTCCTCCTCGCGCCGTGCGCGGGGGGAGGCGGGGGGGGGCCCAGGGGGGCAAGGCCTGAGTCGAGCCTGTCCCCCTGCAGGGGGATTTTGGACGAAAAAGCAAAAGTACCCCAAAAATACCCCCAACAGGATCAACAAATACTCAAAAGTACCCCCAAATATCAAAAGGTGCAGCAAAAATGCCCCAAAATCAAAAATACCCCCAAAATACCCCAAAACTGCCCCAAAATGAGGACAAAAGGACCCCAAATGCCCCCCAAATACCCCCAAATGACCAACACAAATGCTCAAGACATCGTCCCCAGAGTATTTTTGTTGCTATCTTTGAACATCCCCCCTGCAGAGGGACGGGCCCGACGTGAGGCAAAGGCGGAGCTCTGCGCCCCGCGGCCGAGACCTCGCCCCGTGCGCTCTTCTCGCCGCGCGCCGTGCGCAGCGGTCGCCTCCCGTCCTCGTCCTCGTCCTCGTCCTCCTCCCTCCCCTCTCTTCTCCTCGTCTCCTCGCTGCGCCTCCTCGTCTCCGCTCTTCCTCCTCTCTTCCTCCTCGTCTCCTTCCTCCTCTCTTCCCCTCCCTTCCCCTCCTCTTCCTAGTCCTCGTCTCCTCGCTGCGCTGCAGCGCCGCCAGCTTGCGCGCGCGCCCGCCCGCGAAGGCGGCCGGGTGCAGCCATCAGAGGCTTGTCTCACTTCGACCTGGTTTCAGGGGCTTCGGCTCGCAGGCCGGAGGGGGTTGCGCAGAGAGTCGAACCCCCAACTTGGGTGGGCCCTCTCACACCCTCCTGATGCCTGCGACTCCACACCTGCTCATGACTGTCGTCGTGGCAAACCCGGCGCGAGCTACACCAAATGAGGCAGGTCTTGCAAGCACAGCGCGTCCCCCCCCCTAAAAAAGGGACTCGGGGCACAAACAGAACCATACACAGAAAACCCTGGAGGTCCGCGCAGATTTCTTGGATCGGCGCTGGGACCCTCTGGCGGCGCCTCCGGCGCCGCCGCTGGCGCGCTCCGCGGGAAGGGGGGTCCGACGCCGATCCGAGAAATGCACGCTGACATCCGAAAGTTCATGACTATGTCACTGTTGGCTTCCCAGAGAAAAGGAAGCAGCAGGGAGAGGGGCAGTTCCACCTAGCCCCCCATAGGCTCGTGGACTCCCTGCCGGAGGAAGCCTGCCGACAAGCAGGAATCACGACAGGGGTGGCCGGGCCCAGAGCGGCTGCGGGCGGCGAGCTGTCGTGCAGTGGGCCCAGCCTCGAGAGCGGGGACCCAAGCGGCGCCCCGCAGCGGACGGCTCGCCGCCGACGATGGTCGCCGGCCCGCGCTCATCATCGTCGCGGTCGTCGTCGTCGTCGTCGTCGTCGTCGTCGTCGTCGTCGTCGTCGTCGTCGTCGTCGTCGTCGTCGTCGTCGTCGTCGTCGTCGTCGTCGTCGTCGTCGTCGTCAGCTCGGCATCCACCACCTCGGGAGTCCGAGGTGGGCATCTGCGCGCCGCGCAGTGGACGGCGGACTTGGCCTGCTGCCCTCCGCGGGGGAGGCACCGGCCAGGCCGGGGGCCCCGGCTCGGCACGCACCCGCCGCGCGGAGCGCCCAGCTCCCAGGCACGAGGGCCCCGAGCCTTCCCACGACCCGCGCTCCTCCTCCTCCTCCTCCTCCTCCTCCTCCTCCTCCTCCTCCTCCTCCTCCTCCTCCTCCTCCTCCTCCTCCTCCTCCCCACTCCTCCTCCTCCGCCTCCTCCTCCTCCTCCTCCTCCTCCTCCTCCTCCTCCTCCTCCTCCTCCTCCTCCCTCCTCCTGCTCCTGCTCCTCCTCCTGCTCCTCCTCCTCCTCCACGCGTTTTCTTACTCGGCGTTTCGACATTGGGCGGAGGGGGGAGGAGGGATTGCCACCGAGACCAGCCCAACCTGACCCCAAGACCCGAATTTCGGGTTGAGGGGGGGTACGGGCTTCATGTGTTTGTTCAATGTTTTCCGCCCCCCTCACTGGAAATGAAGGGCAAATCGAGGCCTTCGGGTTGGGTTGGAGTGGTTTGGTGGGCGGTGAACATTGGGCGGAAGGGGGGGTCTGGCTCAGGACATCTGCCTAGCGCGACTGTGTGAAACAGTGCGTCCTGTCCTATGGGGGGGACTCCACCTGCTTGAAACAGGCGCCAAAAACAACCAATCGAGCGAACGGCGATGGGCTTCTCCATGGGCCATGCGCTTCACGTCAGCCCTATCGACAACATCCGCTTTCCACGAAGGCCTTCCCTGGAGCACGATGGGCGGTGGGAAGCAGCGCGCCAGGCAAACCCCGCACGCGGCGGCGTCCCTCCGGTTCGGCGCGCAGCGGGGCCCCCTCGCAGCGGAGGCAGCAGCCCATGATCTCTGCAGCCCGGGGCAGCAGCACTGCACGCAGCAGCACCCACGCAGAGCAGAGCAGAGAAGATCCTCGTGGAGTCCCTGCCAAGCTGACGACCTCGGAGCCCGAACAAAAAACTTGCCTGTACTCTGCGTGGGTCCCTTCGAAACCAAGCGTCTCAGGATGCGAGCCCCTCCAAGGCTCACAGTACACAAACTGCACTGGCCGACGGACACCCCTATGGGCACGCAGTCCTCAGCGAGGACCTGTATGTCAGGCGCGACGACATCTTCCGGTCCCCCGCCCACCAGAGCTCCCCCCCCGCCTCCCCTCCCAGGGACTCACGCAGAGGTGCGAGAAGCGCAGGTAGAAGTCAGGAGAGGCTGAGTCCAGACGGGGTAAATCCGTACGGGGACCGGGCACTCCGTATGGACATACTCCGTGTGGACGTGGACTCCTGTCGGGAGAGGCTGCGTCCAGACGGAGTAAGTCCATACGGAGATCGAGCGCTACGTATGGACCTACCGTCGGGGCGTTGACCTAAGGAACCCTAAATAAGGAACGAGGCCCCTTTTTTCCATAAGTCAAACTTTGATTCCCCATCGAAACCTAATGAAAACCTCACGCAAGCTGTAAAACAATTAAGGAACACGGAGCCCCTCCCCGACGAAAAAGGGTTCCTTCTTCAGCGCCCCGACTGTACTCCGTATGGACTCAGCCTCCGTTACCGAAGAGGCGCGCCACTATGACACGGCCAGCGTCGCCGTCGCAATGGGTCCCGCTCGCGGGCAGGCGCGCGCAGCCGCCAGGAGCCCCTGGGAGGCTCTGTAGCTCTCGGGCCAAAACGGCTACGGATGGGGGGAGAGGAGGAGGAGGAGGAGGAGGAGGAGGAGGAGGAGGAGGAGGAGGAGGAGGAGGAGGAGGAGGAGGAGGAGGAGGAGGAGGAGGAGGGGAGGAGGAGGAGGAGGAGGAGGAGGAGGAGGAGGAGGGAGGGAGGAGGGAGGAGGAGGAGGAGGAGGAGGAGAGGAGGAGGAGGATGGAGGAGGAGGAGGAGGAGGAGGAGAGGGAGGCGGAGGAGGAGGAGGAGGAGGAGGGGAGGAGGAGGAAAAGGAGGAGGAGAGGAGGAGGGGGAGGAGGAGGAGAGGGAGGCGGAGGAGGAGGAGGAGGAGGACAAGGAGGAGGAGGAGGAGGAGGAGGGAGGGGGAGGGGAGGAGGCAGGAGGGACAGGAGGAGGAGGAGTCGGAGGAGGAGGAGGAGGAGGAGGACGGAGGAGGAGGAGGAGGAGGAAGAGGAACAGGAGGAGGAGGAGGAGGAGGAGGAGGGAGGACCAGGAGGAGTCGAGGAGGAGGAGGAGGGGGAGGAGGAGAGGGAGGAGGAGGACGAGAAGGAGGAGAAGGAGGAGGAGGAGTCGAGGAGGATGAAGAGGAGGAGGGGGAGTGGCCGGAGGAGGGAAGGAGGAAATCCGCCGATCCGGCGTGTGAGTTTCAAGGAGTCTCAGCTACAGCCTCGAGGCTGAGCCTCAGCCTCTGGGGGGGTTGCCGGGGTGGCTCTGCCGGGGAAAGGGGGGTGGGGGGGGGGTGCGAGTTTCCGGCGGATGCGTTTTTTGACACCCCTCACAAGGATCGTGGCCTCCGAGGGGGTTCCGAACTCGAGTACCACCCCTCCCGCACCAAGAGGCTCCGAGGAGGCCTCCAAGAGGCCCCAAGGGGCGCAGAAGAGGCCCCCAAGAAGCCCCAAGAGGCTCCCAAGAGACCCCCAAGAGGCCCTCTAGTGGCCCCAAGAGGCCCAAGAGGCCCCCAAGAAGCCCCAAGAGGCGCCCAAGAGGCCCCCAGAAGTCCCAGCCAACCACGAGATCCCAACCAGCATCCATGAGGCCTCTGACCCACCACCCACGCACGGTGGCGGGATAGGCCGACGGCCACTGGATCCGCCGCCCCCTGCTTGCAGGGGTGCACGGCGTGCTGGATGTTTCAGGTTTTGGTTTTGGTTCTTTTTCTAAAAGAACCGAAGACGCCTACGGCGAATCACCGCCGCCCCCTGCCTTTTTGGAAACGCCGATGTGGCCGAAAGTTGGACTAGAGCTTGGCCAAGCTATCGGACCATGAGTTCCCGAGTCGGTTTGGAAAGCTTTCGGGGAACACATGGGAGAGAATGATTATGAACAGGAAGAGGAAGAGGAAGAAATAGAGTAGGAGGATGAGGGTTGTTAGGAGTCTCTTGGGGCACCCTTGGGGTCTGTTGGGGGCTTCTTGGGGGCCTCTTCGAGGCCTCTTGGAGGCATCTTGGGGGCCTCCTTGGGCCTCTTGGGGGCCTTTGGGGGCTTCCTGGGGGTCTCTTTGGCCGTCTTAGGGCGTTCCTGGTCCGTCTGACGCCGTCTGGAGCCGTCTTGGGGGCCTCTCTGGGCCGTCTTGGGGCCCTCTTGGGGCGCTTCAGGGCCGTCTTGGAGGCCATGTTGGGCGTCTTGGAGGCCTCTTGGGCCGTCTTGGGGCGCTCTTGGGGCCGTCTTGGGGGGCCCTTGGGCCGTCATAGGGCCTTCTTGGAGGCCTCTTGGGCGATCTTGGGGGCCTCTTGGGCCGTCGGAAGGCCGAAAAGAAGAAAACGCAAAAAACCTTCAAAAACCTAAGGAAAACCAATGATTTTGGCCTCTTCGGGCTCTCCTGGAGAACGTCTTGGAGGCCTCTTGGGCCATCTTGGAGGCATCTTGGGGCCATCTTGGCCGTCTTGGAGGGCATCTTGGGCCGTCTTGGAGGCATCTTGGAGCCATCTTACCCGTCTTGGAGGCCATCTTGGCGTCTGGGAGGCATCTTGGAGGCCATCTTGGGCCATCTTGGCCGTCTTGGAGGCCATCTTGGGCCAAGTTGGGGCAACAAAGGCATTGACAGACGGATTTTGGGAAACTTACGGGTGGCCGGCGGACGGCCGAAGCCCACTGGGGAGTTCTTTTAATCGAAGACGCCTACGGCGAAACACCGCCGCCCCCTGCCTTTTTGGAGACGCCGATGTGGCCGAAAGTTGGATTAGAGCTTGGCCAAGCTATCGGACCATGAGTTCCCCGAGTCGGTTTGGAAAGCTTTCGGGGAACACATGGGAGAGAATGATTATGAACAGGAAGAGGAAGAGGAAGAAATAGAGTAGGAGGATGAGGGTTGTTAGGAGTCTCTTGGGGCACCCTTGGGGTCTGTTGGGGGCTTCTTGGGGGCCTCTTCGAGGCCTCTTGGAGGCATCTTGGGGGCCTCCTTGGGCCTCTTGGGGGCCTTTGGGGGCTTCCTGGGGGTCTCTTTGGCCGTCTTAGGGCGTTCCTGGTCCGTCTGACGCCGTCTGGAGCCGTCTTGGGGGCCTCTCTGGGCCGTCTTGGGGCCCTCTTGGGGCGCTTCAGGGCCGTCTTGGAGGCCATGTTGGGCGTCTTGGAGGCCTCTTGGGCCGTCTTGGGGCGCTCTTGGGGCCGTCTTGGGGGGCCCTTGGGCCGTCATAGGGCCTTCTTGGAGGCCTCTTGGGCGATCTTGGGGGCCTCTTGGGCCGTCGGAAGGCCGAAAAGAAGAAAACGCAAAAAAACTTGAAAAACCTAAGGAAAACCAATGATTTTGGCCTCTTCGGGCTCTCCTGGAGAACGTCTTGGAGGCCTCTTGGGCCATCTTGGAGGCATCTTGGGGCCATCTTGGCCGTCTTGGAGGGCATCTTGGGCCGTCTTGGAGGCATCTTGGAGCCATCTTACCCGTCTTGGAGGCCATCTTGGCCGTCTGGGAGGCATCTTGGAGGCCATCTTGGGCCATCTTGGCCGTCTTGGAGGCCATCTTGGGCCAAGTTGGGGCAACAAAGGCATTGACAGACGGATTTTCGGAAACTTGCGGGTGGCCGGCGGGACGGGCCGAAGCCCACTGGAGAGTTCTTTTAGAAAAAGAACCAAAACCAAAACCTGAAACGTCCAGCACGCCGTGCACCCCTGTGGCAAGACCACAGGGGGCGGCGGATCCCCAGTGGGCTTCGGCCCGTCCCGCCGGCCACCCGTAATTTTCCCCAAATCCGTCTGTCAATGCCTTTGTTGCCCCAACTTGGCCCAAGATGGCCTCCAAGACGGCCAAGATGGCCCAAGATGGCCTCCAAGATGCCTCCAAGACGGCCAAGATGGCCTCCAAGACGGGTAAGATGGCTCCAAGACGGCCCAAGATGCCCTCCAAGACGGCCAAGATGGCCCCAAGATGCCTCCAAGATGGCCCAAGAGGCCTCCAAGACGTTCTCCAGGAGAGCCCGAAGAGGCCAAAATCATTGGTTTTCCTTAGGTTTTTGAAGGTTTTTTGCGTTTTCTTCTTTTCGGCCTTCCGACGGCCCAAGAGGCCCCCAAGATCGCCCAAGAGGCCTCCAAGAAGGCCCTATGACGGCCCAAGGGCCCCCCAAGACGGCCCCAAGAGCGCCCCAAGACGGCCCAAGAGCCTCCAAGACGCCCAACATGGCCTCCAAGACGGCCCTGAAGCGCCCCAAGAGGGCCCCAAGACGGCCCAGAGAGGCCCCCAAGACGGCTCCAGACGGCGTCAGACGGACCAGGAACGCCCTAAGACGGCCAAAGAGACCCCCAGGAAGCCCCCAAAGGCCCCCAAGAGGCCCAAGGAGGCCCCCAAGATGCCTCCAAGAGGCCTCGAAGAGGCCCCCAAGAAGCCCCCAACAGACCCCAAGGGTGCCCCAAGAGACTCCTAACAACCCTCATCCTCCTACTCTATTTCTTCCTCTTCCTCTTCCTGTTCATAATCATTCTCTCCCATGTGTTCCCCGAAAGCTTTCCAAACCGACTCGGGGAACTCATGGTCCGATAGCTTGGCCAAGCTCTAGTCCAACTTTCGGCCACATCGGCGTTTCCAAAAAGGCAGGGGGCGGCGGTGATTCGCCGTAGGCGTCTTCGATAAATGCTGAGTGAGAGGAGGGGAGGGAAAAAGAGAGGAGGGACGAGGGCGAAGCAGGATCACATCAGTCGGAGCGCCCCGGATCGGCGGCACTGGCCGAAGGCCACTACAATAAGAGGAGAGAGAGAGAGAGAGAGAACAAAAAAAAAAAGAGAGAGGGAGGAAGGGGGGGAGGGAGAGCAGCGGCAGGAGGAGGGCAGCAGCCAACAGCAACTCTGAAGCAGCGCGGGTGCGGTCCTCCTGAGGCGCCGGCCACGGGAGCTCCTGCCCCCAGACCTTGACGTCCTTGAGGCTGCCACGGAAGGCCTTCGGAGAGTGGGGGGGGGGGGGCAACGTTCGGAGGCAACTGCTGGGAGGTCTTTGTGATTTTGAGCAACGACCGTTAGACTCGGCCAAGTGAAGCTCAATTCAGATTAAGCCAAATCAGGCTTGGGATTAAGCCAGAAGCTAGATTCAGCGAGGCTATTCCGGATTAGGCCAGTTTTCGGCCACGGATCTACCAGTACCACTGCTGATGTTAACCTCAGAGGAATTGCATCCTAAGCACCGCACACACCAGCTCGGCACCGTCGGCCCCCAGGACACGGGCAGGGTGCAAACGAAGACTCCAACGCACTGACACAAAAACGATCCAGCTCGGAAGTCTTTCGTCGTTTCCAGCCCTTTGGGAGCCCTCGCCAGGCCCCAGGACCGCAAAAAAGGGCTCGGGATGAAGAACTGACCTTGCGGAAAAGGGTGTGGACTATCGGGGATACACCAACTCGGCGCACAAGACGAGGGCGAAATGCGGACAAGTCCATAGGCAAATGGAAGACGACACCACTACCGCCACCAGGGGCAACAGCCAGGCAGGGTCCTCTAGTGGTGCCATCCCTCTGTTTTGCAGCGTTCCGCCCAGGACATGTCCAGTCTTCCGCTCGGGGAGGCGTTGTGGACCTCCTCGCTGGAGGTGGCCCGCTCGTGGTGGTGGAGTCGCTTCTCCTTCCTCCGAAAGTCGGACACGAACTGCTCAAGAATCCCTGAGAGCACGAAGCGAGCTCGAAGCCGGCCGCCGCAATGCTTCTCATGGCAAGCATCTGCCGCTCCGCTCCGCGGGGCGGGAGGCGGAGAAAGGCTCGAGACGTGGGCGCTTGGCGACCAGTGCGTTTTCAGCGTGTCGAGCCGAGGGGGAGTGGGACAGAACTGTCGGCACGACACGCAAAGCCACAATTCCTGACGTGGCAGTTGGAGGGGGCCGCGACAGCGTCCGCAGATGGGACTGATGTCATCCAGAAGGCCGCTGGGCCGAGGCCCAAAGACTGGCGGCCCCTCGAAGAGGTTTGGTTCCTTCACATGCCTCCTCCCTCCTCCTCCTCCTCCTCCTCCTCCACCTCCACCTCCTCCTCCTCCTCCTCCTCCTCCTCCTCCTCCTCCTCCTCCTCCTCCTCCATGTGTTTCCTCCTTTTTACTCGTGCTCCTCCTTTCTTCCCCCCCGCCTCCTTCTCCTTCCTCCCCCTCCTCCCTCCCTCCTGGCTTCCTTCCTCCTCCTCCTCCTCGTCTTGCTCCTCCTCCCTCCATCCCTTACTTCCCCCCTCCCCTGGTCCTCCTCCCTCCTCGCTTCTCCCCCCTGTGATCCCTCCTCGTTCCTCCCCTTTCCGGCATCTTTCTCTCCTCGACCCCAGGGAACTCGGAGGCGTCCAATTGAGGGGCGCCCAAGAGGGGTGGATCGCAAACCATGGCCCGAGGCACATGCGCGGCAAGGGGAGGACCAGAGGACGTATTGAAATAACAGGGGGGGCAAAGAAGTCTGGGCAGATCTCACGGCCACGGTCATGATACCCATCTTCCCTATAATTCATCACCGCCCTCTTGACCGCCCCCGAAACGAGGACGGCGGATAAGGAGGCACCAGTGGCGAATAGCTTGTTCTGGCCCCAGAGCGCCTGGTTTTGAAACAGGAAATGGCCGCCGACGACCATGTGCGGCCTGCCCAGGCGGGAGGGCGGGGGGGAGGGAGGAGGGCGGAGAAGGAATGGGACAACGAGACATAGAGAGAGAGAGAGGAAACAAAAAGATCGAGGAGGAGCAAGAGATAGAGAGAGGGGGGTGGGGGAGAGGAAGGAGGACAGGGAGAGGGAGAAGGAGGAGGAGGGGAGAGACGAGGAGAAGGTCCAGAACAAGCCAAGGTTGCACCAACGAAGCTGCACGCACTCCCGTCCTAAATCCACTTCCCAGAAAGACCATGCATTAACTCGTCACCGCTGCGGAACGACCCCCTTGAAAGACGAGCCCCATGGGTGTCGTTCAGGTGAGAGCTCCGTTTTTTTTTTTTTTTTATATATATATATATATAAAAAAGCTGCCCTGTATAAGTTTGGCTCTATGTTTTCTCACGGCGAATGCGCCGCAACATAACGCATGTACCTAGCAATACTGAACGCGCATCATACAGGTCATGCGAGTGTCCAGCGACGGCTGCTTTGCAATAGGAGCCGCTGTCAATCCGTGCATCGTTTGCACACAACTACACACATGATACATAATGTTGAGGAAATATCGCCCGATAGCTTCATTATGGACATGATCCATTCTCCAGATTCAACTGTCTCAAGACTACAGGTGTACGAATGGCTGTACAGGAAATTCAAGAAAACGGCAGGATGATCAAACACAAAGAATGTGTAAGTCTAGGCTGTCGCGCACATATGAAAATATGTATACAAACATACACATATATAACTTCACGCACATCTATATATCACATATATACATATACTTATATCAGCTCCGAGGCGTGGCAGAAAACAAAACTAGGAATGTCAAAGCTAGAACAGGCGCAGCAACGCGGCATGAAAAAAACAAGGTTTTTGCTAGCATGATGAAACACCACGACATTTTGCGGGTGCGCTCGGCATCGCACTCATAGTGTTGCAAGAGATTTACCAACAGTGATTGTGCCAGCGGTTTTGCTGGTGGTTGTGCTAGTGGTTGTGCTGCTGGTGGTTGTGCTGGTGGTTGCGCTGATGGTTGTGTTGCTACTTTTTTCCTGATGGTTGTGCTTCTGGTTGTACTGGTGGTTGTGCTGGTGGTCACGCTGGTGGTTGTGCGGATGATTGTGCTGGTGGCTGCGCTGGTGGTGGTTGTGCCAGTGTTAATGCTGATGCTCATGCTGGTGGTTGCTGGTGGTTGTGCTGGTGGTTGTGCAGGTTGTTGTGCTGGTGGTTGTGCTGGTGATCACGCTGGTGGTTGTGCTGGTGGTTGTGCGGCGGGTGTGCTGGTGGCTGCGCTGGTGGTGGTTGTGCCAGTGGTAATGCTGGTGCTCATGCTGGTGGTTGTGCTGGTGGTTTTGCAGGTTGTTGTGCGGGTGGTTGCGCGGGTGGTTCTGCTGGTGCTCATGCTGGTGGTTGTGCTGGTGGTTGTGCTGGTGTTTGTGCGGGTGGTTGTGCTGGTGGTTACGCTGGTGGTGATTGTATTGGTGGTTGCGCTGGCGCTTGTGCTGGTGGTTGTGCTGGCAGTCGTGCTGGTGGCTGTGCCGGTGGTTGTGCTGATGATCTTGCTGGTGGTTGCTGGTTGTCCTGCGGGAGATTGTGCTTGTGGTTGCGCTGGTGGTTGTGCTGATGGTTGCGCTGGCGGTTGTGCTGGTGTCTGTGCTGGTGGTCGTGCGGGTGGTTGTGCTGGTAGTTATGCGGGTGGTTGTGCTGGTGGTTGTGCTGGTGATTGTGCCTGTGGTGGCTGCGCTGGTGGATGTGCTGGTGATTGTGTTGGTGGTTGTGCTGGTGGTCGTGCTGGTGGTTGAGCTGGTGGTTGTGCGAGTGGTTGTGCTGGTGGTTGTGCTGGTGGCTGTGCATGTGGTTGTGCGCGTGATCGTTCGGAGGGTCGCGCTGGTGGTGGTGCGAGTGGTTATGATGATGGTGGTTGTGCGGTTGGTTGTGCTGGTGGTTGTGCTAATTCTTGTGCGAGTGGTCGTGCGGGTGGTTATACGGATGATGGCGCTGGTGGTTGTGCTGGCAAGCGTGCTGGGTGGCTGCGCGGGTGGTGGTGCGGGTGGTTGTGCGGGTGGTTGTGCTGGCGGTGATTGTGCAGATGGTTGTGCGGTTGGTTGTGCTGGCGGTCGTGCTAATGGTCGTGCTGGTCGTTGTGCTGGTGGTTGTGCTTGTCTAGTGCTGGTGATCATCTTGGTGGTGATTGTGCGAGTGGTTGTGCGGGGTGTTGTGATGGTGGTTCTGCAGGTGGTTGTCGTGGTGGCTGTGCTGGCAGTTGAGCTGGTGGTTGTGCGGGTGGTTGCGCTGGTGGTTGTGCTGGTGGTCGTGATGGCAATGATGATGGTGGTAGTGCGGGTGGTTGAACGGGTGGTTGTGCAGGTGGTTGTTGTTGTGCTGGTGATGTTGTGCTAGTGGTTGGGCGAGTGGTTTTGCTGGTAGTTGCGCTTGTGGTTGCGCTGCTGGTGGTCGCGCCGATGGTTGTAATGGTGGTAGCGCTCGTGGTGGTTGTGCGGGTGGTTGTGCGTGAGGTTGTCCTGGTGGTTGTGCTGGTGGTTGTGCTGGTGGTTGCGCGGGTTGTCGTGCTGGTGGTTCTGCTGGTGGTTCATCGGGTGATAGTTCTGGAGGTGGTGTTGGTGATTGCGAGGATGGTTGTGCTGGGAGCTGTGCCAGTGGTTGTGCGGATGATTGTGCTGGTGGCTGCGCTGGTGGTGGTCGTGATGGTGGTTGTGCGGGGGGTTGTGCTGGCGGTTCTGCTGGTGATTCTGCTGGTTGTTGTGTTGGTGGTTGTGCTGGTGGTGGATGTGCTGGTGTTTGTGCGGGTGGATGTGCTTGTGGTTGCGTTGGTGGTTGTGCTGGTGGTTGTGCTAGTGGTTGGGCTGGCGGTTGTGCTGGTGGTGTTCGTGCTGGAGGTTGTGCTGGTGGTGTTCGTGCTGGCGATTGTGCTGGTGGTGTTCGTGCTGGCGGTTGTGCTGGTGGTTGTGCTGATGGTTGTGCTGGTGGTTGTGCTGGTGGTTGTGCGGGTGGTTGTGCTGTTGGTTGGGCTGGTGGTTGAGCGGGTGGTTGTGCCGGTGGTGGTTGTTCGGGTGGCTGTGCCCTTGGTTAGCTGGTGGATTGGCTGGTGGTTAAGCGGCTAATTGTGCTGGTAGTTGTGCGGGTGGTTGTGCTGGTGGTGATGCTGGTTGCTGGGTTGGTGGTGGTTGTGCGGGTGGTTGGTCTCGTGATTGTGCCGGTCGGTGGATGTGGTGGTTGTGCTGGTGGTTGTGCGGGTAGTTGTGCTAGTGGTTGTGCAGTCGGTTGTGCTAGTGGTTGCGCGGGTGGATTTGGTGGTGGTTGTACGCGGGTGGTCGTGCTGGTGGATGTCATGGTGCTGGCTGTGCGGGTGATTGTGCGAGTGGTTGTGCTGGTGGATGAGGAGGAATAGGAAGGGAGAAAGGAGAGACAGATAGAGCTAGAGGACGAGGAGACCTAGGCCCTCGACGTCGTGAAATCTTGGCAGGGCGCACCTCTGGAGGCGCGGATCTTATCGCTGGGGCCAATCATGGATCCCGAACTGTTTTCGACGGCCCCTGGGCCCAACGAAAGCCCCCGTCGTCGCCGTCGCCGCCGTCGTCGTCGTCGCTGTCGTAGCCGTCGTCGTCGCCGCCGTCGTCTTGAGGAGGATCTGGAGGAAGATCCCGGGGGAGATCAAGAGGAAGATGTGCGGAGCAACGCGAAACACTGCGACACTAAGGGCGCCGAATGGTGGCGGTGGTGGTTGTGCTGGCGGTGGTAGTCCTGGCGGTGGTGGTAGGGGGGGTCCTGGCGGTGGTGGTCCCAGTGGTTGTGCAGGCGGTGTTTGTCCTGGTGATGGTTGTGCTGGTGGTTGTGCGGGTGGTCGTGCTGGTGGTTGTGCTGGTGGCTGTGCGGGTGGTTGTGCTGGTGGTTGCTTTGGTCGGCGTGCGGGCGGTTATGCTGGCGGTCGTGCGGGTGGTTGTGCTGGTGGTTGCGCAGGAAATGATTGTGCGGGTGGCTGTGCGGGTGATGGTTGTGCTGGTGGTTGTTGTGAAGGGGTGTGCTGGTCGTTGCTGAGCTGGCGTAATGCGGGAAGCTGTGTTGATGATTATGCTGGTGTTCGTGCGAGTGGTGGTGCTGGTGGCTCTGCGGGTGGTTGTGCTGGTGGTAGTTGTGCGAGTGGCTGTGCTGGTGTCCGTGCGAGTGGTTGTGCTGGTGGTCGTGCGGGTGGTTGAGCTGGTTATTGTGCAAGTGGTAGTTGCACGAGTGGTTGTGCTGGTTGTTGTGCGGGTGGTGGCGGCGGCGGTTGCGTTGGCGGTTGTGCTGGCGGTTGTGCGGGTGGTCGTGGTGGTGGTTGTGCTGGTGGTTGTGCTGGTGGATGTGCTGGTGTTCCTGCGAGTGGTTGCGCTGGTGGCTCTGCGGGTGGTTGTGCTGGTGGTGGTTCCGCGGATGGTTGTGCTGGTGGTTGTGTGTAGCTGTGCGGGTTGTTGTGCGAGTGGTTGTGAGTGCGGTCGTACTGGTGGTGGTTGTGCTGGCTGTTTTGCTGGTGGTTGTGCTGGTGGTTATGCTTGGTGTTGTGCTGGTGGCTGTGCGGGTGGTTGTGCTGTTGGTTGTGTTTGTGGTGGTTGTTCTTGTGGTGGCTGTGCGGGTGGTTGTGCTGAAAAGTTTTGCTTGCGGTTGTTTGGCTGACGATTGTGCGGGTGGTTGTGCTGGTGGTTGTGCTGGTGGTGGCTGTGCGAGTGACCATGCTGGTAGTTACGCTAGTGGTTTTGCTGGTGGTTGTGCTGGCGGTTGTGCGGGTGGTTGTGCTGGTGGTTGTGCTGGGTGTTGTGCTGGTGATAGTGCTGGTGGTGGTTGTGCTGGTGGTTGTGCTGGTGGTTGTTGGGCTGGCGATTGTGCTGGTGGTTGTGCTGATGGTTGTGCTTGTGGTGACTGTGCGGGTGTCGTGCTGGTGGTTGTGCTGTGCTGGGGGGTTGTGCGGGTGGTCGTGCGGGAGGTTGTGCTGGTGGTTGTGCGAGTGGCTGTGCTAGTGGTTGTGCTCGATGTGTTGCTGCTGGTGGTTGTGCTGGTGGTTGTGCTGGTGGTTGTGCTGGTGGTTGTGCTGGCTGTTTTGCTGGTGGTCGTGCGGGTGGTTGTGTTGATGGTTTTGCTGATGGCAGTTGTGCTTGTGGTTGCCCTGGTGTTTGTCTGGTGTTCCAGCATGTGGCTGTGCTGGTGGTCGTACGAGCAATCACCCACAACACGAACCGCCATCACAACCGCCAGCCCATCAACCACCAGCACAACCCTCCAGCACAACCACCACAACCAAACAAACAACCACCAAGAGAACCACACCCCAGCAAAAACAAACACAGCGCACCACCATCGCAACCACCAGCGCGGCCACCATCGCAACCACCAGCACAAACACCAACACGACCACCAGCACAACCACTCGCACAGCAACCATCACAACCACCAGCACGAGCACCAGCACAACCACCCGCACGACCACCAGCACAAACACCGGCGCAACCACCAGCAGCAAAACATCGAGCACAACCACCAACACAACCACCAACACGACCAGCAGCACAACCGCCAGCACAACCACCGAGGAACCAGCAGCAGCAAAACATCGAGCACAACCACCAGCACAGCCACCAACACAACCACCAGCACAACCACCAGCACAACCACCATCGCAACCACCAACACAACCATCAGCACAACCACCCGCACAACCACCAGCACACCAGCACGACCATCCGCTCAACCACGAGCAGAATCACAAGCACTTCCGCCAGCACGGACAACGGCACAACCACCACCACGACCACCCGCACAACCGCCAGCACAACCGCCAACGCAACCGCCGCCGCCACCACCCGCACAACAACCAGCACAACCACCAGCACAACCACCAGCAAAACCACCAGCACAACCACCAACGCACCCACCAGCGCAACCACCAGCACGGTCACCCGCACAGCCATCACCAGCACAACCACCAGCACAACCACTCGCACAACCACCAACACAACCACCATCGCAACTACCAGCACAGCCACCCGCACAACCACCAGCGCAACCACCAGCACAACCAACAACACGGCGATGTCATGCACATCGTCATGTTTTAAGCTAGGTATTCTAGTAGGACTCACGTCACGGTCCCATGGCATGGAACAACACAAATAATTAAAGCAACATGATTTTAACGTAGGTCCGCGAGGCTGAGGCCGGGCATGCCGTCTTTGATGTTTGGAACTCGCTGCATATTTCTGCAGCGAGAGCCCCGCTTCAAAAGACAACAGCGCCCTCCGTCTGTGCACCTGTTGCACAGGTGCACAAGGCCCCTGCGTGGAAAGAAGCTGTCATCATTATGCCCCACTGCCGTGCAATTCACAAGGCCTGGCATGTTGAGCATGTCTCCAGCGAGAGTCACGTGTTGAACAAGGACCGCCTTCCATGCTTGGAAATGTCGGAGCCCTTTAAGACGGATAGGCGCGGCCCCCGGACGAGCGCCACTTCTGAAAAGGAACCGCCCCCCCCGTCATTCTAACTGCTAACAGATTTTGAAGCGAATGCGCGCGGCGATAAGGCGACATCCACAGATTGACAAGGAGCCGCCCTCAGGCCATGCAAATACTAGACTGGTTGAAGCGTAATATGCGCGGCGCCAAAGCGGGAGCCACATAGTGAAAATGGCCCGCCCCCCGTCCTTCCACCTGATGATAATTACATCGCCAGGACCAAAGCGGTGAGGAATCTCCGGCGAGAAACCAAGCCCAGCCTACCGACACGGCTGATGGTGCTACGAGGAGGGAGTGCTTCCAAAGGAGAGGAGATACTGGAGGAAGGAAGGCAAGAAAGGGAGAGGAGGGAATGAGGGAGGAGGGAGAGGAGGAAGAGGAGGGACAGCCAAAGTGGCGAGGGGGAGAGGCATGAGGGGGATAAGGGGAGAGAGGCAGGGAGGATGGGCGGCAGGGAGGGGCGCGAGGACGAAGGAGTGAGGCCAGAGCAAACCCATAATGTACCAACGCTGCTCCATTACACCCCCCCGCCCTCCCGCCCCAGCTTCTCTGGTCATACACCCCGGCAAGGAGGCTGCCGATTTTCGCCGATCCGACCCATGTCGACTTCCGATCCGACTTGCCGATTCGATTTTGGGCTCTCAAAGTGGGGGCTATACCCTCCGCCCGGGCCGCGGCTGCGGCTGCACGGCCCGTGCAGCGGCTGCACGATCTCTCAAACTTCTGACCAGGGAGGCCAGCGAGGCCGCAGACGAGAGCCTCCTTATGGAAAGGGAGTCGCCATCTGCCCGTGCAGCTGTCACCGATTCTGCCTGTGCGGTAATATTGAAGGGGCCCCAGGACACACACATTAATACGCACAAGTAAAAAGATCCCCCATCTTTTCACATATTTTTGGGGCTTGGGTGTTCCCCCCACTTCCCATATGTTTGCATATTTTCCTGGGAGTCGACGACTAATTGTGTCTGTGTGTTCCTTTCCCTCCTGAAATATGTGTGGAGAGAGTCTCCGGCGAGGGCCCCGTTCTAAAAAGGCACCGCCCCTCGTCAGTGCAGCTGCCAGATGCAGCTCTGCGGACTCGCGTGGCGCCGGCGAGGACACCATCCGCCCTCCATCAATGCAACGGCTGGACGTTAAGAGACCGGTGCGAGCGGCGCGTGGGCGAGAGCCCCCCTCTGGGAGAACGGCCCCTCCCCGCCGGCGTAGGCGGTGGAGCTCCAAGCTTCAAGATCGTCAGGAGAAAGAGAAGGAGGACAAGGAGGACGAGGGAGAAGGAGGAGAGAAGGGGAGGAGGAGGAGGAGGAGGAGGAGGAGGAGGAGGAGGAGGAGGAGGAGAGGAGGAGGAGGAGAGAAGGAGAGGAGAGGAGGGGAGAAGGAGGAGAAGGAGGAGGAGAGGAGAGGAGGAGGAGGGGAGGGAAGGAGGAGGAGGAGGAGGGAACACGGAGAGGAGGAGGGGGACGGGAGCAGGAGGAGGAGGAGAAGGAGGAGGAGGAGGGAGGGAGGACGAGGAGGAAGGAGAGAGGAGGAGAGAGGGAGGGGAAAGGTAGTAGAAGAGGAGGAGGAGGAGGAGGAGGAGGAGGAGGAGAGGAGAAGAAAGGAAGGAACAGGGGAAAGGGAGGAGGAGGAGGAGAAGGAGGAAGATGAGGAGTGTGGGAGGAGGAGGAGAGAAAGAGGAGGCGGAGGAGGATGAAGAGCAGGGGTGGCCTCGCCAGCTCCAGTGGCGCCATTCCCTCAATGTTCTCGCCAACGAGCGCGCCGTCCTGAAATCACGAGCCCGTCTCCTCCTCCTCCTCCTCCTCCTCCTCGTCCATCCTCATCATCATCAATCCTCATCATCATCATCATCATATCTCATCATCTCATCATCATCATCATCATCATCATCATCATCATCATCTCATCATCATCATCATCATCGTCATCATCATCATCATCATCATCATCATCATCATCATCATCATCATCATCATCATCATTCCCCACCATCACTTTTTCCTTCTCCTCCTCCTCCTCCTCCTCCTCATCCCTCCTCCACCCTCTTCGTTCCCACCCCCTCCCCATCCTGCCACCATTTTCTCCTGCTACTCTTGCACTCAAGTGCTGAGGCCCGAAACATGTCGGGCGGGCCTCCCTCCTTGGTGCCTCCCTCCCCGTTGGCACGTCGAGGAACTTTGTCCGAACGACCCGCTCAGAGATCGATCGGCCACCGGCCAGAGCACGGGAGAAGCGTTCAGTCTTGGAGGCGGCTGGGCGGCCTGAACTGGATGGGGCCCCCGGAAATCCATCAAGAAAGGGGGGCACGATTGCAAATCCGCTCACAATCGGTCCCCAGACCCCTCCCAGGGTCCATCCGAGCCAATTTTCCACCCCGCATCTGTCTTTGACGGTCCCCGGGCCCAAACGAGCCACAACGGAACGAGCAAGAAAAGCCAGGAACGAGCAGAAAGCCTCGTCGAGCCCAGAACCTCGAACCTCGCCCGCCCCCTTCCTGCGCGCCGAACCCTCTGCCGGGCCACCTCGGACCTCCAGCCGGCCCCAACGGTCTGCACGCAAGAGTTGGAGGCTTAGAAATGGGCACCAACACCGATGCCGAGGGTTGCCTCTACCAGGGGAGGGTGATCCTAGACTTTGGTGTTGGTGGTAACAGTTCGGCCACCGTGGAAGCCCGAATATCACCACCATGACCGAGATCGGGATCATCTATCCTCGGTGGAGGCACATCGCCGAGATCGGTGCTGGTGTCAACCTCTGGGCCTCCGCAAGAGCAGCCCCAGGCAAGAGTGACTTGTGGTGCGCGGGCTACGGGGACGCCAGGTGGCCAGATCCAAAAAGGGGCGAGCAGCCGCCATCGCGTCGCGCGCGGCGATCGGGGGGGGGCACCCCGACGAGCCCGCACCCCGAAGGTCACTCTGGCGAGGGGCCACTCTTAGGCAGTCGAGAGTGCCGCGGCAGGAGAGCTCCACAGAGGCGGAGCCCTCCCCACGCGCGCGCGGGCCGCGGAGAGGCCAACGTGTCCGGCACTCTCTTCGTCCCGTCGCGGCCCGCGCGTGCGATATTCCCGAAGGGCAGGCGCGGGGGAGGGCCGCTTTGGCGGCTTGCACAGGGGGGGATTGGAGGAAGGGGGGAGGCTTCTTAGAAGGAGGCTGCTTCTTAGAAGGCACCGACGCCACATCTACAGACAAGGCCCGCGCCTTCTAAGAAGCAGGGGTGCTTCCAAGTAGCCTTCCCCACTCCCCCATACCCCTCTCTGCACTTGGCCGGGCACACTCGTTCAGGGGAACACGAAAGGGTAGAATAGCAAAGGGCAGGGCAGAGGATCAGCTCGCGTAGCTGGTCTTCCTGGCGCCTCCCAGCGCCAGGAAGCGCCCAATGTATCGAGGAATAGGCACGGCGGCGGGGCGGAAACTAGCTGCATGCAACAGATTTCGTGACCCCCCCTTTCCCTATCCTACCCTTTCGTTCCGCCCGACTCGTGCACACGAAAGAGACCCTCTGGGATCAAGATGGTCCATCTGCTGCGGTCAGTGTGTGTGTGTGTGAGTGTGTCAGTGTGTGTGTGTGTGAGCGTGTGTATTGTGTTGTGTGTTGTGTGTTGTGTGTTGTGCGTGTTGTGCGTGTTATGTGCTGTGTGTGTTGTGTGTGTGAGTGTGAGTGTGTGTGTGAGTGTGAGTGTGAGTGTGAGTGTGAGTGTGAGTGTGAGTGTGAGTGTGAGTGTGAGTGTGAGCAGTGAGTGTGAGTGTGAGTGTGGATGTAAGTAAGTGTGTGTGTGTTGTGTGCTGTGTGTTGTGTGTTGTGTGATGTGTGTGTTGTGTATGTTATGTATGTTGTGTATGAGTGTGTTTGCGCGTGAGTGTGAGTGTGACTGTGAAAGTGAGTGTGAGTGTGAGTGTGAGTGCGAGTGTGTGAGTGTGAGTGTGAGTGTGTGTGTGTGAGTGCGAGTGTGAGTGTGAGTGTGAGTGTGAGTGTGAGTGTGAGTGCGTGTGTGAATGTGGGTTTAAATGAGAGTATGTGTGTGTGTGTGTCTGTGTGTATGTCTGTCTGCGTGTGTGTGTGTGTGTGTGTGTGTGTGTGTGTGTCTGTGTGTGTGTGTCTGTGTGTGCCTGTGTGTGCCTATGTGTGCCTGTGTGTCTGTATGTGTCTGTGTGTGTCTGTGTGTGTCTGCGTGTGTCTGTGTGTATGTCTGTGTATGTCTGTGTGTGTGTCTGTGTGTCTGTGTCTGTGTGTCTGCGTGCGCGACTGTGTGCGACTGTGTGTGACTGTGTGTGCGCGTGCATGCGTGCGTGCGCGTGAGTGTGTGTGTTTGTATGTGCCTGGTTGTCTTGTGTGTCTGGGTGTGTCTATGTGTGTCTGTCTGTGTGTGTGTGTTTGTGTGTCTGTGTGTGTGTGTCGGTGTGTCTGTGTGTGTCTGTGTGTGTGTCTGTGTCTGTGTCTGTGTGTGCCTGTGTGTCTCTGTGTGTATGTCTGTGTGTGTGTCTGCGTGTGTGTCTCTCTGTGTGTCTGTGAGACTGTGTGTCTGTGTGTCTTTGTGTCTGTGTGTCTGTGTGTCTGTGTGTCTGCGTGTGTCTGCGTGCGTGTGTGTGCGCGCGCGTGTGTGTGTGTGTGTGGGTGTGTGTGTGTGTGGGTGTGTCCGTGTCCATCGGTGCGGCGACGTGGCCCCGAGGACCTCGCGGAAAGCGCTGGGCACGGACCCCTCCCTGCCCCCACGAGGGAGGGAACTACGGTCAGATACATAGTTTGCTTAGCGTGTCGCGCGTCGCCAGCACAGCGTGTCGCTGGGTAGCTGCCGGGCGACACGCTGTTTTCTGCGAGCGGATCGCATGTTGCTCCGCTCCGCGGGGCAGGAGGCTCGGAAAAGTTGGGGACGCTGATGCTGGGGGGCCCGGAAGTGGACAGCGTGTCGTCACGAAGCGTGGTGGATCAGAAGGGGCGGAGCGACACGCTAAGCACAAGCTCTTGACCGTGGAGGATTTCTGTAGTGGGCATCTCGAGAGGGGTCCTGAGACTGCCGCAGATCATACTCTTGAAGGTGAACACCCCTTCTCCTCGGCAGCGCCGGCGGATGCAGACGCGGGTGTCAGTGCCAGTGGGGCGACTCGTGAGGATTAACACCCTTAGACAGGAACCCCCGTTTGGTTTATCAAGCGAGTCTCCGAGGCGGCCCTCTAGGGCTGCGCCGTGACTCCTCTTCTCATTCGGAGCGCTGGCGGAAGACCTGCTGGCGCCTGAATACCTTGTATCCTTGTATCGTCTCCTCCTCCTCCCCCTCCTCCGACTTCTCACCGCCCCTTTCTCCCTATCCCTCTCCTCCTCCTCTCCCGCCTCCTCCTCACATTTTCCGTGCCGCCGAATCCATCCTTGAACACCCTCATGTGCCCCGAGGGCGACACCGTGCACAGCATGGTGAGCTCGCGCCCGAGCTCGAAGAAGTTCTCCACGGCAACGCTGATGGGCTTCCTGCCCCGGAAGACCGTGAAGTGCAGGTTGCGCGTGAGCTCGATGGCCCCGGCGGTGATGCTGTCCTCGTCGGCCGCGACCGAGAAATCGAACACGCGCGACCAGCTCTCGAGGCTGTCCATCCTCAAGGTGCACATGAACGAGAAGGCGCCCCCCAGCGGACCGGAGACGTGCGGGCCCAGGTCCACGGGCTCCTCGGGACGAGCAGCAAACGCGACACTCTGGCATCCGAGGCCGGCCTCGCGCGCGCCCACGAGGGGGGCACGCGGCCCCGCAGGCGAGAACTGCCACCGACGACGGCGGCGACGAAGTTCGGACAGACGACGTCGGCGAACGACGACGACGACGACGACGACGACGACGACGACGACGACGACGACGACGACGACGGACCAACCATTGCAACATCGCGAACGACGACGACGACGACGAAGCAACAGTAAACGGTATAATAGGCGTCACATTTCAAAGGTCTGCTGCGGGACCTAGGCCAGAAGAACGTCCTCCAAGAGCATGGACCCTCCGCTGGCCAAAACACTCAGAACATCCCAGGGGTTGCTCCTCAAGGTGCGCAAAACATCACGAAGAACACGAGGGCACCCTCCCATGCCTCGGCCCGACTGCACGCGGATCTCGAGGATCTGGCGCGCGGGCTCCCCTCCCAGCCGCCCCCCCCCTTCCCCCGCGCGCGTCAGAGGCACCCGAGGCGCCGTCGGAAAGGTCGCGGGAGAGGGTGCTCGGCGCCCCGAAGGACGCAGAGGAAATCCGCGCGGAACTCCGAAGCCCTCTTGCTACGGTCGCTCTCCTCCTCCCTCCTCCTCCTGCTCTCCTCCTCCTCCCTCCTCCTGCTCCTCCCCTCCTCCCCTCCCCACCCCCTCTCCTCCCTCCTCCTCCTCCGTCCTCCTCCTTTGTCCTCCCTCCTCTTCCTCCTCCTCCCTCCTCCTCCTCCTTCTCCTCCTCACTCCCTCCTCCCCTCTCCTCCTCCTCCTCCTCCTCCTCCTCCTCCTCCTCCCGCCTCCTCCTCCTCACCTCCTCTCTCTCCTCCTCCTCCTCCTACCTCCTCCTACTCCTCCTCCTCCTCTCCTCCTCCTCCTCCTCCTCCTCCTCCTCCTCCTCCTCCCCTCCTCCTCCTCCCCTCCCTCCTCCTCCTACCTTCTCACTCCCCTCCTCCTCCCTCCTCATCCCTCGCCTCCTCCTCCTCCTCTTCCTCCTCCTCCTCGTCTTCATCCTCCTCCTCCTCCTCCTCCTCTCCTCTCCTCCTCCTCCCCTCCTCCTCCTCCTCCTCCTCCTCTCCCTCTCCCCCTCCTCCTCCCCCCCTCCCTCCTCCTCCTCCTCCTCCTCCTCCTCCTCCTCCTCCTCCTCCTCCTCCCTCCTCTCCTCCTCCTCCTCCTCCTCCTCCTCCTCCTCCTCCTCCTCCTCCCCTCCTCCGTGGATCTGGCGCGTGGGCGCCAGATCCACGGAGAAGAGCCCCCCCAGGGCCCCGGAACGAGGAGAGGCCGGCGCCGCCCGATCTGGAGACGGAGCGCGCCGATCCGGCACCGAAGCGCAACCCCCGCGCTGACCCGTGCGCCTTACTGCATGCCTGCGGTTCCTTAGAAGAGCAAGCAATGGCACAAATACTTGTGGACGCCATGACAATGGACACTCGAACATTCCGATCATTAAATTAAAGATGTGTTTAAAATGTATACAGCATGTTCTAAACATGCTTCAAACATGTTTTCAACATATTTAAAAAATGTGTGATTCATCCTTTAGACATCTGGAAATTATTTGGCAGCACGCTTCCTCTCCATTAATCGACTTCCCAACAAATACAAAGGTCCGCGCGGGTTTCTCGGCTCTGCGCTGGACCCTGCTCCCTGGCGCGCGGAGCGCGCCAGGGGCGGTGCCAGAAGCGCCGCCATGGGGGGGCCCAGAGCCGATCCAAGAGATCTGCGCGGAGCTGCGAAAGTTTATGTTTATGCCGTGTCTTGTTCCTCGACTCCGCGAGTTACGCTCATGTACACTTTTTGCATATTGATCCTCCCCCGTGAACGGGGCGGAGTGCTCGGCGAGGGGCGGCACGGAGGAGGCGAAGGACGGCACGGGAGACTGCTCGGCAAAGTGCTCGCACGACTGCTTCGCCCACGCCGCGTCCACAGCCGCCTTTCACGGCGCGTGCGCGTGTGCGTGTGGGTGTGTCTGTGTCTGTCTCTCTGTCTGTCCGTCTGTCTGTCTGTCTGACTGTCTGTCTACCTGTCTGTCTGTTGCGGGGGGAGGAGCTTGAGCTAAGGAGCCTGCCATCTTCCACAGTGATCCGCAGGATGCGACCGATGACCCCTTCCCTCTGGGCGGAAGTGCAAGATCTCGCGGCCATGCCCAAGCCAAGACTGGGGAGACGAGAGGATGCCGATACGGCTACTGCCCAGACCTCCTTCGGGGTGCTCTGGCCCGAATTTCGAGGCGAGTCCGGCCGTGGCTACGATGGCTCATAAGCCAAAACGGGGACGGGAAGCCGCATCGCTGCCTCTTCCTTTCCCAAAGAAAACAGCAGCGGGGAACGGGAGAAGGGAGCGCAGATCGGCACACACACACACACACACACTAGAGGCATCCTAGATGGGGTCCGAGTGAATGGGGTCGGAGGATCGAGCCGCATCGCCGATGCATCGGCGACGCATCGGCGACGCCAGGGCGGAGAACATCGGGCTCCACATCGAGCCGCAGCGGGGATGCATCGACAATGCGGCATGATCTGCCGACCCCATCTTCGGGCACCCGAGTTATTCGGGATGGACCCCTGGTCCGGGTAGGGCTTACTTGATGCCCCCAAACATGATCCAGGGAAGCCCTGGAACCGCCACTTGATCCGGAACAACTCCTGCTTCAAGAGAAGACTGCAATCATCTACACAACATGAATTGAGTGCAGCATGGGGCAGCTCCAACGCGAAAACTGAAGCCCCCAATCGGGAGCTATCCAAGACCCCGCCCTACCCTCATAACTCGGGGCTCTGACATCTACTCGAACCCCCTTCGGGAGACGTATTGAACATGGACCGACCGTCCCGCCATTCCTATAGTCCTGCCACGAAATGCTCTTAAAACCCCAAAGTGTTCGAATAACAAAGACAATGTTTTTAGAACATAAGCCATATGTGATAAAACAAGACAGTCTCAATCAGAAAAGTTCTAAGAACATTTCGTGGAAACCACAAAAGGTTCTTAGAATATTCTTTGGTGGGGCTATAGGCGAGCCAGGACGCTTCGCCACTGCTTGAACGTAGGCAAACGCAGTCGGGATCCGATGGGGGGGGCGCTTCCAGCCATCGCCTCGAGGAGCTTGCGCGAGGGTGGGCCGGCGCAGGTGTCGGCGGTGTCCTCGCCCGCGGCCTCGCCGCCGTCCTCTGCGGCCACGCCACCATCCTCTCTGTGGGGCGCGCAAGAAGTGACGGCTGAAGGGTCCAAGCTCCTCCTCCTCTTCCTCCTCCTCCTCCACCCCCATCGCTTTTCCTTACAAGAACTCCTCCCTCTCGCACCCCCAGACGTGTATGCAGGGCGGGCCCGGCGTTTCGCCTGAGACTGCAAGGATTTTAACGGATTGACTGCCATTAGGCCGGACTTTTGACGGGATTGAGCGGGATTGAGCCGGAGCAAACGGGATTATAGCCGGATCAGCCCGGAGTAAGCCGGCTTTCGGACCAGGGCAAAAACAGAATCTGACCTCCCAGGAGTTGCATCCGAAGATCCCCGAGGACCGACCCCGCCAAAAAAACCCGAGCCCCCTCCTGAGGCCAAAGGCTAGGTCGGGCGCGTCCCCCTTACAAGCGGGTTCTGGGCGAAAAATAGGAACACTCACGAACTACCCCGAAACATTTAAACACACACACACACACAAATCGTTCCTGGACGATTTTTGGACTGTTTTTGCATATTCCTCCTGTGGAGGGACAGGCCCGACTTAACCCAAAGGAGTCCTTACCTCAGCGCCTGCACTGTATGTTTATGCAGCCTGCTGTTCGTCGATGCATGGGGCCACCTCGGCCCCCAGGACACTCTCTTGGCGGCGCCCCGGATCCTGGAGGTCCATCCCGCGGGAACCGGAGCGCGAGCGGGACCTACCAAAAGCGAGTGGTCGCGTAGGCTGGCAGGGCCAACCTCGCAAGAGCGCTGCAAGCTGTAAAGCTCAGGCTCCGCTCAGCACGCTTGAGCCAAGGGGGGCTGACAGACCAGACGCGCTCGCACAGTGGATAGAGGATAAAAGGGATGTGGTCGGAGGATCGCGCCTCATCGCCGATACATCGGCGATGCATCGGCGATACATCGGCGATGCGCCGGCGATGCATCAACGACGTCCGCGAATCATCGGCAACGTAGGTGTGGGGAAACACGGGCTCCACTTCGAGCCGCATCGGCGATGCACCAGCGATGCGGCGCGATCCTCCGACCCCATCTACTCTGACCCCATCTGACAAGCCTGGAGGAAAAGAAACAACAACAACAACAACAACAACAACAACAGCAACAACAACAACAATTACTAGCACGTGGGGACACTCCGTTCTCACCAGTGCCAAGGTTTTCATAGGAGGCGGGCAATACCCCCACTTTGTGGGGGGGCCGGTTCAAGCTCTACCAAATTTCCAAACGACTCTTCGCCACCACCCACACCCAGCTTCCCGCCCTATGACGTTCGGACACTTCACTTCGTGGTATGCGGACGACCGTGGCTACTATTCAGGGCCCCGCGGCCGACGACGACGGCGTGCGCGCGCGAAGAAAAAACGAATGTGTCCCGCATGGTATTATTTGACAGGGATGATGGCCCTGGCAGGTGCGCAACCGTTGTCGCAGAAGTTCGAAAAAGTTGCTCGCAAAAGCCCGTTTGACAGAAATGTTTAAAAAGTGTTGGGTTTCCTACGAATCCGCAAGAGCGCGCGGGATGAGATTTTGACATTTTTTTGTTGAAAAACCATTGGTTTTTTGATGTTTTTATGTTAAAATCGCTGCGAACACTAAGGTTTTGGAAGGATTTCGTCTTGCGCGCGCGAATGTCCACTTTACCTTATTTTTTGCAAGGGATTCTTGAAATTTGTTTATATTAGAACAAGAAATGTCATTTTCTATTGTTTTTTGCAAGGGAAAGCGGACTACAACAAAACAGCCGGATCCTGTACACACCCTCTTTTCTGAGGCTTCCTCACGAAAATGATGAAAATGTAGCTGCGGCCTAGGCGGCGCAGGGGGGGCGCGCACCAGGGGGCCCAACAATAATTATTCTTTAGAATAAATAATGTTCAACAACAATCATTGTAAGTCTGTTCGCCCTTATATGCTCGAGTGTCCAATAACGCGTATTTCCCAAACCCTCTATACCCGCCCTCTTCGTCTTCGATCGAACCCCTTTTGGGGGGTGTACCGGTATAGCTTTTTTCCCTGCAGGCCGGGCCCCGGCAAGCGGCGGGGCGGCCGCGAATCGTCGGCCTGGCCAGCGGCAGCGCTGATCGGCGGGGCGGCCGTGGACCGTCGACCCGACCCCAAGATGGACGGACAGGGGACCGACCACGACGACGACGACGACGACGACGACGACGACGACGACGACGACGACGACGACGTCGACGACGACGACGGCGACGACGAGCGAAAGCGAGAGCGAGAGAGAACGACAGCAGGGCCACGAAGGGCACGAAGTAGGCCACGAAGGGCGACAGCGGGGACACGAAGGGAATGCGTATGGGGCCACGAAGAGCGCGAACGAGCGGGGGCCACGAAGTGTAGATAATGCGGGGCCACAGAAGGCAACTATGGGGCCACTAAGGTAGCGACTGGGCCACGTAGGACAGTGAGGGGGACACAAATGGCGACAGCGGGGCCACGAAGTGTATGCACATGGGGCCACAACGGGCGCGACTCCTGGGTGCCTGGGTGTCGGGAGCGGAGCGCTTGGGAAAAATGCAAGAAATCCCAACGCAATGCCATTCTTCAGTAAGTCGCAAGCAAGTCTCCAGCGAGAGCGCGACTCCAGAGCGCCGGGAGAGAGATTCCTGAATAAATTATAAGGAGGTCCCAGGCGAGAGCGCGATTCCTGAATAACATGCGAGGAAGTCTCGGGCGGGAGCGGGGGTCCTGGCTAAATTGTAAGGAAGTCTCAAGCGGGAGCCGTTGTTGTTGTAACCCGGGGGCCAGGGGCCCAGTTTCAGCAGGAAGACTTTCCCTGTCAAAAAACAGGGCGCGAGCGTCGAGGAGTACACTTTGAATGAGAAAAAACAATATGCACCGGTGGGGGGGATCAACAATAATTATTCTTCAGAAGTGAGACTTCAACAACAATTACAACAACAACAACAACAACAACAACAACAACAATCATTTAAGACTGGGGACACTCCGTTCTCACCAGTGCCAGGGTTTTCATAGGAGGCGGGCAATACCCCCACTTTGTGGGGGGGCCGGTTCAAGCTCTACCAAATTTCCAAACGACTCTTCGCCACCACCCACACCCAGCTTCCCGCCCTATGACGTTCGGACACTTCACTTCGTGGCATGCGGACGACCGGGGCTACTATTCAGGGCCCCGCGGCCGACGACGACGGCGTGCGCGCGCGAAGAAAAAACGAATGTGTCCCGCATGGTATTATTTGACAGGGATGATGGCCCTGGCAGGTGCGCAACCGTTGTCGCAGAAGTTCGAAAAAGTTGCTCGCAAAAGCCCGTTTGACAGAAATGTTTAAAAAGTGTTGGGTTTCCTACGAATCCGCAAGAGCGCGCGGGATGAGATTTTGACAATTTTTTGTTGAAAAACCATAGGTTTTTTGATGTTTGTATGTTGAAATCGCTGCGAACACTAAGGTTTTGGAAGGATTTCGTCTTGCGCGCGCGAATGTCCACTTTACCTTATTTTTTGCAAGGGATTCTTGAAATTTGATTATATTAGAACAAGAAATGTCATTTTCTATTGTTTTTTGCAAGGGAAAGCGGATTACAACAAAACAACCGGATCCTGTACACACCCTCTTTTCTGAGGCTTCCTCACGAAAATGATGAAAATGTAGCTGCGGCCTAGGCGGCGCAGGGGGGGCGCGCACCAGGGGGCCCAACAATAATTATTCTTTAGAATAAATAATGTTCAACAACAACAACAACAACAATTACTAGCACGTGGGGACACTCCGTTCTCACCAGTGCCAGGGTTTTCATACGACGCCCGCCAATACCCCCACTTTGTGGGGGGGCCGGTTCAAGCTCTACCACATTTCCAAACGACTCTTCGCCACCACCCACACCCAGCTTCCCGCCCTATGACGTTCGGACACTTCACTTCGTGGCCTGCGGACGACCGTGGCTACTACACTGGCGCATGGGTACAGTGACTTGTTGTGGTAACATTTTCTGGACGCTAGCTTAGTATACGACTTTTCCCCCTGTTCCAACACTGGACACCTGTACTGGTTTTTGGTGGTAACGTGTTCCTGACGCTAGAATAGGAAACCACGGTAAACCAGTACACGCCGGATGTGTCAGCGCGCATGGTATTGGTTTTGCGACAGTAGTTGAAAATTGTGGCGCCTACTGGCAGGCGCGTATGATTTTATGTTGCCCGGTGCTAAAATTCCTAAGGAGCCCAATGGTTTTTGAAGATTTCGGCGTGCGCGCGCGAAGAAAAAACGAATGTGTCCCGCATGGTATTATTTGACAGGGATGATGGCCCTGGCAGGTGCGCAACCGTTGTCGCAGAAGTTCGAAAAAGTTGCTCGCAATAGCCCGTTTGACAGAAATGTTTATAAAGTGTTGGGTTTCCTACGAATCCGCAAGAGCGCGCGGGATGAGATTTTGACATTTTTTTGTTGAAAAACCATTGGTTTTTTGATGTTTTTATGATAAAATCGCTGCGAACACTAAGGTTTTGGAAGGATTTCGTCTTGCGCGCGCGAATGTCCATTTCACCTTATTTTTTGCAAGGAAAAACCGCCCGTACAAAACAACCGGATCCGGACCAACCCGTTTGCGGAGACCTTCCTCACTAAAATGATGAAAATGTAGCTGCGGCCTAGGCGGCGCAGGGGGGCCGTGCACCAGGGGTCCCAACAATAATTATTCTTTAGAATTAATAATGTTCAACAACAACAACAACAACAATCATTTTAAGACTGTTCGCTCTTACTTGCCCGCGTGCCATGCAACGTGTATACCCACGCCCTCGATACCCGCCCCCTTCGTCTTCGAGCGTACCCCCTTCTGGGGGGATTCTTTCTTTTTGCGGGGGCGGGCGGGCTTAGACAAGCGGGCGTGAACGGGCGGGGAATTATTCGGAGGATGGGGCACGCATCTCTTTGCCCACCATTGGAATTAGCGCGGGCCCTGCAAGAAGAGGAAGGGGGAGAACGAGGGAGAGTGGGAGGAAGGGAGGGGGAGGGACGAGGCTAAAGGGGAACACGCCAGGAGAGAGGGGGCGAGGAGGGGGGGGGGGGACGATTGGAGATAGAGAGACAGAGGAGGGAGGAAGGAGGAGGCTGGAGAGGGGAGGGCGAAGAGAGGAGGGAGGAGGGTTATGGGAGGAGGGTGAGGGGAGAGAGGAAGAGGGAGGAGGAGGGTGGATATGAGGGAGAGGGGAGGGAGGAGGGAGGTTGGATGGGGAGGAAGGGGCAGGAGGGTAAGAGTGTGAACGTTCGAGGAAGTCCTAGGCGAGGGCGTATTCCTCAAGGAAGAGTTGGGCGGGAGCGGGGGTCCCGAGTACATTGTCGGACGTCTCAGGCGGGAGCGCCGGTCGGGCGGGCGGACCCTGACGGGCGGGTCGGGCGGGCGGGACATTCAAACGGGATTTTTGCGTAAATTGCGAGGAAGTATTAAGCGAGAGCGCGATTCCTAAGTATATTGCGAGGGCGTCCTTGGCGCGAGCGTGGTTCCTGAGCGTCGAGAACGCGATGCTGCAATAAATTGCGAAGAAGTCTTAAGCGAGAGCGCCATTCCTGAGTAAATTATGAAAAAGTCTCGGGCGGGAGCAGGGGTCCTGCTTAAGGAAGTCTCAAGCGGGAGCGCCGCTTCTGAGTAAAATGTGAGAAAGTCTGAAGCGGGAGCGCCCTTCCGGAGTAAATTTTGAGGAAGTCTCAGGCGGGAGCGGGGGTCCTGAGTAAATTGTGAGGAAGTCTCAGGCGGGAGCCGTTGTTGTTGTAGTCCGGGGCCCAACAACGCATTCTGATCCGCAAGGCTTTCCCTGTCAAAA